GCAGGTCGGCCCTGTTTCGTCGCTCCATTTTGATTGGATGCATGTATATTTGTGCAATGGTGTTGCGTCCCAGGAAATGTTTTGCTTCATGTCGGCATGCCAAGCCATTCCTGCTCTGAGGGACATCTATCCGAAGTTGGAACGGTACTGCCAGGCAGACTGGTCTTTCCCCCAGCAACACCGACGCAAGTGTCGGGAGGCCCACGTTGTTTTCTGCAAGGCCAGGGAGAACGCATCCAAGGAGCATTGGCGAAGCAGCGCCTCAGAGTTGTTGTGCATTTACCCGCTGGTGCGGCATTTTGCTTGCATTGTTATCTTGCCGAATTTCGATGAGCTGCGCGACGAAGTTGCCTCCCTCTGCCATTGTTTCGCTGTAATTGACAAAATTCAACGGGCGAAGGCGGGCGACATCGATGCCTCGGCCCTCGGAGCTGCAGTTGATCGCCACGCGGACGCACATGAAAAAGCATACGGGGCCGACAATTGGAAACCAAAGTTTCATTTGGCGACGCACATTCCCGAGCAAGTGGAGAAATTCGACGTTGTGTTGGATTGCTTCGTTGTTGAGAGGTCGCACCTTCTGCCGAAAATGATTCTGGACAACCAAGATATACTGAAAGGCTTCGAGAAAGCTGCAATTTCTCGCGTGCTGTTGGCGCGCCTGCAGGAGCTCGAAAGTTTCGACGAGCGCCCAGGGCTCAGGGGGGGCGATGCGGAGTTGTCGCCCCTGCTGGCTGAAGCAGTCGGCGGCGACGTCGTCCTTTCATCCAGCGCTGCTTTCAAAGGCTTGCTTGTTTGGGCAGGCGACGTGGTGCGCATGCAGAACAATTTTCTATGCGTCGCAGCTCTGGGCCAACGGGGGGACGATCTATTCATTCTTGGGCACGAGTGCGTCGTGATCGAGAAGCGGACGCCGAACGCGTCAGTCCTGCGGAAGGACGGCGAATTGCTTCTTGCGTGGTGGAGCGGCGAATCGGTTGAGATGTGCCACGCTTGGTCGGAGCTCGCCTCTGGCGACATTCTTGCTTTGCACTGAGCGGAAAACAACATCTGCCAGGACAGCGATTGAATCGCTCATCAAAAAAACATTAGCGATTGAATCGCTCATCCTCCTCCACTCCGCATCTTTCTTCGGTCTGCGATCCTGCAGCGATTGAATCGCTCATCCTCCTCGCAATCCGCCTCTTTCTTCGGTCTGCGATCCGAAGCCTCAGCAGCCACGCGGCGTCGGGGGGATGGGGGTACGCGGGGGAGGAGGGGGGAGAGGGGAATGATAATGTGCGATATGTACAATTCGAGGGTTGCAAAGGAGCCCAAATTTAACTTATTTCAGACAGTTGCAAGTAGTTTACAAGTTATGTGTAACTTTGATAAGTTCTTTGGCCTGCAACTTACAACTCGCAGTTACGATAGTCACATCCCTGGGTAACTTGGGCAGCTGCAATTACAAGTGGTAAACAATGCAACCATCTATGCTAACATCAAGTTGGGTAGTTGCATGTTAGTTCTTCAGATGACCTTAGCTATGTATCAACTTACACCATGCTGTAACCAAAGCTGGCCAGCTTCAAGTTTTCTAACCCAAAGTCGCTACGCCAGCTCGGCCCAGTCAGCATTCTGCCGGCGGGTGGTGCGGGTCCTGGGCGGCCTCGCAAGCCCGGCCACCGCGGCGACCAGGGTGGCCGTCGCCCGCCACGCCCAAGCCGCCGTGTCCAGCGCGGCCCTCGCCTCGCACCGCGGCGCCCGCGACCAGGAGGGGCTGTGGCTGCGCGCCTCCAGCTCGCAGGAGGGTGGCGTAGATTGCGCCCGCCCAGATTGTCACTCCGCACTGCCACGCGCCGGGGTCCACGGTGTAGCGGAGCGCGCCCCCCCGCGCCCCGGGGTCTTCGAGGACCGTTGCCCACGTGACCGGGTGGTGGTCGAGGTCCCGGGAGCCCAGCGCCAGCGCCCGCGCCTGGCACGCACTGAGGTTGCAGCCGTGCTCCCTGCAATGGCCCCCGTCGTGCACTTGGACCGCCCCTCAGCTGGCTGCCGCCGGGCTGAGCACCACGTCCAACCGCCTCCCGCGGACGTGGGTGGGCACCGTCTCCGGGATCATGTGGTGGAGGCCCCTCTGGCTCATCGCCACGTCCACCTGGGCCCAAGACGGCCCAAGAGACCTCCAATAGGGCCCCAAGACGGCCTAAGAGCATTCCAAGAATACACAAGAGGCGCCCAAGACGGCCCAAGAGGGGCAAAGGGGTCCAGGATAGGGAACACGTACCGAACATTGAAGCCTTCCGCCCCAAGGGGCCCCTGGCAGGCCCCAAGAGGCCTTCGAGACTCCCCAAAAGACTTCCCAAGAGGGCCACGAAGGGCAAACATCAATGGTTTTCATTTCGTCATGTTTGTTTCTGGGGTGATCGTCTTCTCGAGCTTCTGACGCTTCAAGACGGCCCTGGAGTCCCTATAGACCCCCCAAAATGCCAACGATGCCCCAACGAGGGCCACGGGACGGCCCAAGAGGGTTCCAAGACGGCCCAAAGAGGAGCCCAAGACAGCCAAAGATCGACCCAAGAGGGCCGCAAGAGAAGCAAATAGACAGAACACCAACCGAACACCCAATCATTTCATCCACAAGAGTCCCCCCCCCCAAGGCCCCTAAGACGCCCCCAAGCGGCCCCCAAAATACGCCTAATAAGCCCCAAGAGGCCCCCAAGAGGCCCCCACAAAGGCACCAAAACGGGGCCCAAGACGCTTCAAAACCGCCTCCGAGAGGCTCCGCCAGGCACCCAAGCAGCTCCAAAGACGCCCAAAAGAGTCCCCAGATAGTGCGCAAGAAACTCACGACGCCTCAACCGAGGACTCCCCGCCTCATCTGGGGGTCGTCGGGATGGCGCAAGCCTCCTGAACTGTACCGTAGCATGGGGCTGGCGCCCGAGAGGCGGGGGCAATGACCCGTGGGCGAGGCGGGCCTACACGCTGCGTTCCCAATAATTACGTCTCCTCGAGCTCTCTGGGCCAAGCGAGCCAGTCAGAGACGGTCCTGGTGGCGGTACGCCAGCTCGTGGCGGCAGCACGGACTGGAATCGCAAAGGGCCCCTCATGTGGGGCCCAGTTTCGTCATGACCATAGATCAAGGCCCGAAAAACAGCTGGGGGCAACCTCAACAGCATGTGGGTGCACTATGGCTCTTTGTCCTTTCGTCCGCATAATCATCGGCGGCGGGCAGGACTGAGCCGCGTAGCCCAAGGCGGGAAGAATCGCGGCCCCATAGAGGCGGAAAGCGGCGTCAGGGGGGAGTCCGAGAGAGAGGTCTCCAGGATCCTTGCCCACCAGTTTTACGAGCAGGCGCGCAAGGGCAGAGCATTGCCTTCAGCGGGGCCAATGTACACCCGAGGAATTATTTACGAGGGCGGTGGTGAAGATAAGCAAGCGAAGCAGCAGCAGAGAACGCCGGAGCAGGGGAGACGAGGCGATAGGGACGATCGAAAACAGCGCCGATGTCGCCAGCACGACCAGCGAGAGTTGCCTGCTTGAGACTATTGGGAAGTGCCATGTGGCCGCACTGAGCGGAGTGTGGGTCCCACCCCACACCTCCGCATCAAGGCTTGTCTGGGAGGGGACGGGGGGGGCCTGCCCTGCCACCCCGTGGAGGCGAGGCGCCTGAACGACCTGCATCGGGGTCCTCGCCGTCGGCCGAAGCAGGGCGCCGCCGTCCAGGCCAACGGGATCCCGGCCAGTCCGAGAGGCAGCGATGCCGTGCAATACGAGACGCGTAGAGAAAGGTGAACACAGAGCCGCTCCGCGCACGAGGGCGCGCTGAACCCTGCGCCGCTCGAACAATGAAGGGCCTTCATGGGCGCTGCCGGCGCGGGCGGCAAGGCGACGCCGGGCGCGTTCGAACCAGGCTTGGCCGCGCCTGGCAACCCTGTCGGGAGCAGAGCTGAGCTGGCGGTTGGCGAGTATGGGCTGGGTCTGGACGAGGCTTTCCATCGCCGCCGAAAGGTCTGGTGCAAGCGAACCTGAAGCCGATGTCAGTGAACATGGCGGTCGATCCAGATGAGGTGGTGGCTGCCCTCCAGGCGGCGATTGTTATGGGGGTCGCTGAGGTCGCGGTGGTTGTAGTGGAGCATGTGGCTGGTGTCCCTCATGCCGGGTGGCTGTAGCCTGATGTCGAGGTGCGCAAAGTACCGCAGCTGCACCACGGAGTTCCTGCGAATGATGCGTGGCGGAGAGTACCACTGCTTCTCCGAGCCTTTCGAGCTCCATGGGGTCAGATAGAAGACCGCCAACAACTTGTTTGGGGCGGGCGTGAAGGACCCGGTCTCCACCGGAGGAAGAGGAGGAGAGCGGAGCGTGACCGACCCTGCTCGAATCAACACTGCGGCAAACGCAATACCTTGCCATCGCTCGGACGTCCATTCCCCGTTCATTGTTCGGTTTCGTGCGTTTTTCTTCGGCAAGATGATCCCAAACGCTCCTCGATAGTCCAGATTTTCTGTCGCTGGCCTCGCCGAGCAACAAATGCACACGTCCGAGCGACGCCAAGATGCAGATCGAAAGGTCGCCAGGCGAATGAGGAATGCTACACGAATCGGCCCTTGACGGTGGAGGCAATCCTGCATGGGTGGAGGTGCAGGGGGAGGTGGAGGCGGAGGAGCGAGCGCAACCCCATATCCATCACGGTCCCACGACGCTGAACCGTCGCCGCGGTCGTCGCCGCCCTTCCGTGGCCGCCGCCGTCGTGGCCCTCGCTGTCGTCGTCGCTGCCGTCGACGAAGTCGCCGCCGTCGCCGTCGCCGTTGCAGTCGCCGGGGAAACAGAAGATACACCGATGCCGCCACTCCCCCCCCCGGGGACCTCTCCCGGGGCGCATGGCTCCGTGGAGACTCCAGCCGTGGCGGCGAGGGCGCTCCCGGACGAGCAGCGGCGTCGGGACCTCTTCCTCCTCGGGCCGTCGGCGCCGCCGAGGGGCCCGCCGCGTCAGAGGCCCGGGAGGCTCCGCAGGGCAGCGGGGCCTGCAGCTCCTTGGCCGTGAGGCCCGCGGCCTCCCCGTCCTCGCGCGCGGCCCTCGTCGTGGCACCGCCTCCCCCCTTGAACAAAGAAAGGAAGAAGCGCAATATAAAACGTCGGGGTCCTCTGTGTGGAATCCGGCTCCTCCAGAGGTCCGCGCGGATGTCTTGGATCTGCGCTGGTTATGCCGAGGGTTGTCCTTCAATCGAAAGACGAGGCCGAGGACCAGGACACGCTCTGATCAGGACAAAGAAGGGGTCCGGCGGTTCTGGAGAACGTGTCGGGCGCCGCGGCCGCTGCAGGGCATTCTGGGAAGCTCTGAGCGCGTTCGGGTCCCGGTCCCAGGCCTGACTGACCTCCCCTTGTTCTCCCTGACACCCCTGTTCTTTCTCCGCGAAGCGCGGGCTCCGCCTTGTGCTGACCTCGTCCCTCGTGTCCGTATCCTTCTCTTCCTCCTCTATGTTGCGTCTGCTTTCTCCCCTACTCCTTTGTACCTGACAGCACTCATCACGTTCGCCCTTTCTCACCCTGAAGATCCTAATCATGTTGCCCCTCCTCCTCGTTCTCCCTATGTTGTGGCTTCTTCGTCTCCTCCTCCTCTTCATGCTCCTCCTCCTCCTCCTCAGTGTATTCCTCCGCCTCGTCATTATCGTCGACGTCCTGTAGCCCATGCTCGATATCCATATCCATCTCCTTTTCCTCGCCCCTCCAACTCCTCAGACATGGCTGTGTCCGTCTTTATCTCCGCCTCCTCCTCCTCATCATCATCATCATCATCATCATCGTAATCGTCATCATCATCGTCGTTATGATTATCATCATGGTCATCATCATCATCATCATCATCATCATCATCATCATCATCATCATCATCATCATCATCATCATCATCATCATCATCATCATCATTATCATCAACATCATCAGAACCGCATCACCATCATCATCACCATCAGCATCATAATCATCATCATCACCATCATCATCATCATGATCATCATTATCATCATCATCATCATCAGCATCATCGTCATGATCATGACCATGATCATCATAATAATAATCCTCATCCTCACCCCCATCATCATCATCATCCTCATCATCTTCATCCCCATCAGCAGCATCGCCATCATCAGCATTATCATCATCATCACCACCATCATCATCATCATCCTCATCATCATCATCATCATCGTCATGAACATGATCATGATGATGATCAGCATCATCATCATCATCATCATCAGCATCATCATCATCATCATCCCCATCCTCATCCTCATCTTCATCCCCATCAGCAGCGTCGTCATCATCAGTAACTATCATAATCATCAGCATCATCATCAGCATCCTCCTCCTCATCATCATCGTCATCATCATCAGCATCATCATCATCATCATCATCCCCTCTCCTTCTACCCCTCATCCTCCACCACTGGGCCTCCCTTCGCTCCACCTCCACCTCTCCCGCCTTTCTCCTCCTCACTCCTCCTCATCCCTCACCATCCCTATTCTCTCCTCCATCGGGGAATCGCCCCAAATGATCAGGGACGGCGATCGAAAACTGACTTGAGGACAATCAGGCCGCCTTCTCCAACGAGCCCCTGACAGTCAATACATACTCCCCGTGCTCGTCGAGCCAGGCCCCTCCTCCGCCTCACAGCTCTTCCACATCAGGGACCACCAGCCCTGTTTCCCACCCGCCTGCCTCACCCCATCATCATCTTCGGCCGCTCCCGCCCAACTCCTCTTCGCCTTCTTCCCGCCTGCTCCTCATCGGCCGCTGCGACCTCTGAGGTGAGGAGTAAAGGCCGAGGTGCAAGCAAAAAGGTTGACAACCAAGCACCGTGCCGACCGCCAGCCCCCTCGGGCCCGCGAGGCGCTACGTGAAGTCGCAGGAATCTCCGTCCCCCGATCCTGTATAAGATCCGGCGTTGAGGCTCAGGAGGCATGAGCAGCTGAGCGCCAATACCTCAGCACGAATACAAGTGCTGGTCCTCCTCGGCCGCTCCCACCCCACTCCTAGAGGAACCGAGCATAACATAATCTGAAACGTTCGGAAGTCCGCGCGGACTTCCTCGATCGACGCTGGACCCTCCGCCCTGGCGCGCCTCCATCGCCAGGGGCGGCGCCTGAGGCGCCGCCAGGCGGACCCCGCGCCGATATAGGAAATCCGCGCGGAGCTCCGACAGCTTCTGCTGGTCAGTGTCTGGCTCATCGAACTCCTCCTGCTGCTCAGCGCTCGCGTTGAGACGCTGTCTCGTCGCGTCCTGCTGTCACCGCCAGGCGCCGCGCGCCCGTGGCCCAGCCGGAGGTGGAGCGAGGGCAGCACCCCCCTTTGACCTGCCGGCCCCCCGCCTGCTCCCCACTCTCCTCGCTCTCCTCCAATGCGCGGCGCCTCGGCCGCGCGCGGCTCGCGGACCAGGGCCGCAGGACCTCCCCCCCGGGGGCCCCGCGGTTCCTTGATCGCGGCCTTCAGCTTCTTCTGGTCGCGGCTGGACCACGCGTTGCGCAGCTGGGCCCTGCACGCGCCGCAGGGCGGCAAGCTGACGTCGCGGCGACGTCGGCGCTGGCTTGCGACACCGCATCGCGGTGGACTGCCCTGCCCTGAACGATCGCGGCTCTACGATAGCGCAAGTGATAAGGCTTCGGGCTGCGCGCAAACAGCCCCCCCCCCCCCCCAGGCAGTCCAGCTGGCCTCAACAGGCCCCCTAGTAGTGCCAGCTGGCCTCAGCAGGCCAGCCGGGACTACTCGGGGAGCTTGTTGAGGCCAGCTGTAACAGCCTGGGGGGGCTGCGTGTGCGTAACCCGAAGCCTTCGCACCATACGCTAGCGCAGGTCGTTTGATATCGGCCGACTCTGGGCCGCTGGCAGAACTCAACCCTAAAAGCCCACGCAGGTCGCGTCAACGCGGCGCGAGCCTACCGTTGCCCATCGGGGTGGGGGGGTGGGAGGCGGGCAATCGGCTGCAGGCTGCCTTCGCCGAGAAGACGCAGGACAACGGAGGAGGGTGAGGCGCACTTCGCCTCGGGAGGTCCTCATCCTCGTCCTCCTCCGCCTCCCCCGCCCTGCTGTCCCCCGTCGTGCTGGAAGTACACAAGCAACGCAGTCGTAGTACTGGTGGCAATAACGCTAATAAGAACAAAAAGGTTCATACTGATAGCACGTGCAGCAGCATTGGCAGTGCAAGGATTGCTGCTTCCATTGGAAGTAGCAGCAGTAACGATAATAAGGGTAATACTGCAATCTGGAGTAAAGTCCGAGTAGATCCGTTCTACAGTAGTTAGGTACGTACGATAAGAAACCTCGCTATATAATACACTAGGGAGAAAGATTCGTCGAGCTTTGATGGGTCTTCAAGTGACCCAGACCTTCTGTGAGCCCCTGGCGCCACCAGGGGGTGAGAAACTTCCGTGGGGCACCTGCAAACGAGCACGTCTCTTACTCGACGTGCGTACTGTATGGCGATACGGCCAGGCCGCGCGGGTCGGGCGCATGCTAGCATGGATCAGAGATCCGTGGATCTGGCGCGCGGGCGCCCGATCCACGGATCGGGGACCGCACCCCCCGAAACGTGGCGCCATTGCCGCCCATCCTGCGCGGAAGTAGGACCCTTCGCCAATCAGCGCGCCTGAATCCAGGAATAGGAGGAGGACGCGGAGGAGGAGGAGGAGGAGGACGAGGAGGAGGAGGAAGAGGAAGGGGGGGAGGAGGGAGGAGGAGGAGGAGAAGGAGGAGGAGAAGGAGGAGGTGGAGGAGGAGGAGGAAGGAGGAGAGGAGGAGGAGGAGGAGGAGAAGACGACGTACCCAAGAAGAGGAGGAGGAGGAGGAGGAGGAGGAGGAGGGAAGAGGAGGAATTGAGGGAGGAATTGCAGGAAGGTTCCTCTCCCTCTGGAGGGGTGGCGCCCCCAAGCGCCCGATGTTCGCGGGCAGCACCGCCACGGAGGGAACCAACAAAAATCTGCAGCACCCAAGAGTCAGTTGGCCCCAGACACGGCAGGGCCGTTCTCACCGTTTTCGAAAAGTGTCTCCTGAAAATGGAAGCGGTTGAAAAACGGCGACCAAACACGGCAAAAAAAACGGCTCCAGGATTGGAGCCGGCCGCGGAACCGGAAAAACAACTGCGGTGGAACCGGCAACAAAAACGGCGACAGAACCAACAGAAAAACGACAAAACAAAACCCATACAAAACGGCCCTGTCGTTTCCAGGGCCAACTAAGACCCTGGGGGCGGCACGTGCCTCCAAAGGCGCCCAACTCGGCCAAGATGATTTTGGCGGCTGGCTGGAGACGGTTCGCGCCAAGTGAGGGCACGGGCAGCTCTTCGCAACATCTGTGTGTCACAGGTTTTCGCTTAGTAGGTGTTTACTTCCATAGTGGGAGATGTGTTAAAAAAGCTGTGCGACCTGTGCTGGTACATGAAAAAAGCAATATGTTTAATCAAAAAGCTGTGCGACCTCTGCTGGTGCATGAAAAAACAATATGATAAATGAAAAAACTGTGCGATCCGTGCCTGTGCATTGTCTTCATTTGACCAAAGTTCCTTTGTAAGCTGAGTACTAAAGAACCCGATTGTATCGAAATGCAAGAAAACTCCTTGTGATACCGAATAGGATCGAATTTTGTATCTCGCGGAGTACACATGTATTCCTTTTGTGGCCGAGTACAATATAACTCCTTTTGTGGCGGAATGCAACAAGAGTTCTTTTTGTTTTCCTCAACCACCGCCCCCCCCACCCCCCACATCCCAAGGACGACCCCCCTCCTCACAACGAAGGCGACAAGCTTCGTTGTAGGGCACTCTGCTTTTCAATCGGCGGCGCCAATGGTCCCGACCGCTTCCCCGCGTGGGGGGGGCAATTCTTCGTCCCTTGTCCACTTTTTATGGTCCGGGGCGCAGCAACGGAACCCGAGAGCCGATCTCAAGGAAAAGTCGCTGGCAAAAAAATTATACCCTTGGAGATCTGGGAACGTTCGATAACCTGGAACCTCGGTCCTGGCCCTGGCTGCTGGTGGCTCTTGCGCGCGGAGCCATCTTTCATATCATTCGCGATAATGCCCGTGACCGGCACCGCCTACCCCCCTGCCCCTCCTGGCCATGCCATTCCGATGCATTCCCAAACGGCGCTAGAGTGACGTGACCGGCCCGCTCCCTCCTTTAGGTGGTACATCATCGGAGCCTCGTTTAGGGCATTGTAGTCTTCGTTTCTCCACCATCTAGTGCAATTTAGTGGGATTTAGTGCAGGTCCAAGTTGTCTGAATCCTCTGGCACTGAATGGTACTAAATGGCAATCAGTGACACTAAATGGTACCGAATGGCACTACATACAGCCGAGCATATGATCAACAAAACACTCAAAAAAGCCTGGAGGTCTCTTGACACAAACCTGGGCCAACTTCTGCCGCTCACGCCGAAGGAGCGACCGTGCTCCAGACACCCAGCCATCTTTTCTGGCAAGCTGGTGAATAAAACTCTGGCCCAGCTTTCCAGGAGGAGGTTCCTGCATCATGTTGTCGCCTGTATAGGGGAACAATGGCATAAACATACAAACTCTGAGGTACACGCGGATTTCTAGGATCGGCGCTGGACGCCAGGGGAGGCGCCAGCGGCCACGCCAGGGGGCCCCAGCGCCGATCCGAGCAATCCGCGTGCACCTCTGAGTTGTTATGTGTAGGTACACGTCGGCTGGAAGAAGTAGGTAAAACCATGAAGTAGGAAAGCGGCCAACGTACATTGGGTTCAGGCCGAACCAGAGGATAACAAAAACACAGCAGAAGCACATCAGCTCTTGATGCGGGACGGCGCTTGAAGTTGATTGGGACCTGCGGACCCCAGAATACCTATACTTCCAACGACGGGCGTGTCGGCTAAGTGCTTTTCTTCCCCGACCGTGGTGCCGTCTATCCCCGGGGGATCACACACACACAGCGGTCTCGTGGCCGGCGGCGGGCCCCCCGCTGTGGCGCGGGGGGGGGCCGTCCTGGCGGCGTCCCTGCGCTCCTCCGCGGCCAGCTGGCGCCGGGCCTCCTCGAGGTGGGCCTCCGGCACGCCCGCGGCCTCTCCGAGCAGGGGCGGGGGGCGCCACGGCGCCCGTCGGCGCCACCGGGCATCGAGCGCCTTACGTTTGTGTGTGTGTGTTTTGGAGTGTATTTTTGTTTTGGATATTGTAAGACGCCAGCGATCCAGCGTCGGGCTTTAGATTTGGCGGCGAGCCTGGAGGGAAGCGATAGAGAGGGCAGGCCTTCGCGGCAGGCCCAGGGCATCCAGCGCCTTAGATTCGGGGATAGACAGAACCCCCTTTAGTAAAACGCGGTCTCGTGAAAACGAACCCGGGCCCAAACCTGGAGGGCGCGAGCCTGAAAATTTGACGGCCGCGGCGCCCTCTCGAGAACCGTAAACGGACAATTCGCTAATCAACGTGTCAGGGTGGCTTTTCTGTCCAACCCCGATAGATTTGTGACCCTGCCTCGATGGACGGCCAGACGTCGGGTCTTAGCTTTGGCGGCGAGCCTGGGGGGAAGCGCAAGAGGGCAGGCCTCTGCGGCAGGCCCCGGGCATCCAGCGCCTTAGATGTGTGGCTCTTCCTCGCGGGACTGCCAGACGTCCCGCGCCCGCAAGGGGGTGGCGTTCGCACCGACGGCTGGCGCCGCTGGCTGGCTCCTCGTGAGGTCCACGGAGGCAGCACGCCGGGCGCCACGGCGGAAGAAGCTGCGCCCGCCCACTGCGCACCCTTTCCAGGCGGAGCAACCCGCCGGCTCCCCAGGCCTCCTCCACCTCCTTCTCCTCCTCCTCCTCCTCCTCCTCCTCCTCCTCCCCGTCCTCCTCCTCCTCCTCCTCCTCCTCCTCCTCCTCCTCCTCCTCCTCCTCCCTCCTCCTCCTCCTCCTCCTCCTCCTCCCCTCCTCCCTCCTCCTCCTCCCCCTACCTCTCTCCTCCCCCTCCTCCTCCTCCTCTCCTCCTCTCCTCCTCCTCCTCCTCCTCCTTCCCTTCCTCCTCTCCTCCCCCTCCTCCTCCTCCTCCTTCTCCTTCTCGTCTCGTCCTCCTCTCCTCTCCTCCTCCTCCTCACCCCCTCCTCCCCCCCCTCCTCCTCCTCCTCGTCCTCCTCCTCCTCCTCCTACTACTAGTCCTCTCCTCCTCCTCCTCCTCCTCCTCCTCCTCCTCCTCCTCCTCCTCCTCCCCTACCTCTCTCCTCCCCCTCCTCTTCCTCCTCTTCCTCCTCCTCCTCCTCCTCCTCCTCCTCCTCTCCCCCTTTCCTCCTCCACCTCCTCCTCTTCCTCCTCCTCCTCCCCCTTCTCCTCCTCCTTCTCCTCCTCCTCGTCTTCACCTCCTCCTCTCCTCCTCCTCCTCCTCCTCTCCCCCCCCTCCTCCCCCCCCTCCTCCTCCTCCTGCTCCCCTCCTCCTCTCCTCCTCCTCCTCCTCCTCGCGCCTCCTCCTCCCTCCTCCTTCTCCTCCTTTTCCTCCTCCTCCTCCTCCTTCCAGGCCTCCAGCGTCTTAGACCTGGCGGCGAGCCCAGGGGGGAAGCGAGAAGAAAAGGCAGGCATTCTCGGAAGGCCGCGGGGGGCATCTCAGAGGCCCTCGCGCCGTCTGAGCAGATCCCGTGGTCTTCGCCGAGGGCGCAGGAGACTTCCCTGGGAGGCTCGATGCCTTCTGAAGAGCGCCGATGCCTTCTGGCAAGGCCGCAAGGCCTGCCCCCTCTCGCTTCCTCCCTTGGGCGCGCTGCCCATCGATGGAGGTGGTCCTCTTTCCGGCGACACTGCGAAACAGTAGGTCCAACAACGGTGCACTCGCACGGCGCAACCGAGGACTTGGGCAAAACGACAGGCAACGAAAGGGGAAAGAGGGGGGAAGGGGGGGGAGGGGAAGGGCAGACTGGGCAACTCAATCTCCCACAGAAGGCCAACGCTGGGCGAGCCAGACCCATGAAACTAAATCTCGGCTAAACTAGATCGGGAGTTTAGGTGCCCGACTTCCGCAATTCCGAAAACTAGATCGGCCCGCTGACACTCTAATTTCCTATAGCATCTTTCAATATGAGACTGTTTCCTTCCGCCCCAACATACGCGTGTATCTCGTGGTGTGGCGGTCGGCTCGGCTGCGCTGACTTTGCTCCGATTGGGGTCCATACATACGGGATCATTCTAGCGTCGGTCTGCACGGTCAGCCCAAGTCACTCCTGGTTCCAGATCTATCCAGGGTCAGTCGGGGAAGAGCCGACTGACCTCGGACTGACCCCAAACTGACCCCGAACTGACCCCGGACTGACCCCGGACTGACCCCAGACTGACCCCCGATCGGACTCCGGACTGACCCCGGACTGACCCCGGACTGCCCCTGGACTGACCCCGGACTGACTGACCCTGCTGAGCCCGGACGGACACCAGAAGGACCCCTGCAGACAGGCCTGGACTGACCCCGGACTGACCCCAGACTGACCCCGGACTGAGCCCAAACGGACCCCGGACGGACCCCGGACTGACCCCGGACTGACCCCGGACTGACCCTGGACTGCCCCCGGACTGATTCTGGACTGACCCCAGACTGACCCCAGACTGACCCCGGACCGACCTCGGACTGACCATGGACTAAGCCCGGAGGGACCCCGGACTGACCCAGCCCAGACGGACCCCGGACGTTCCCCGGACGTTCCACGGAAGTTCCCGGACTGACCCCAGACTGACCCCGGACTGACTGACCCGAACTGACCCCAGACTGACCCCGGACTGGGACTGACCTCGGACTGAGCTTGCGTGGACAGAGCCGGGGTTTAGCAAGAGTTCTGTCGCATTCAAACACTTAGTAGCCAAATGCAATTGTGTGACAACTAGCTGGTATCATCAAGCAAGCTCTGCCAAGTCCTGAGAACCCCCGCTAACCTTACTAGACGGTTGGAAAGTTCAGCATGATTGTAGAATCCAACACTAACGAACTCGAAGTTGTATCATTACTTAACATCTAGCTCCGTGATTTGATAACAAGTTCGCTCATCGTTTACCTAAAGGTTTAGACTCGCGCTAAAGGGGTTACCTAAATGTTTACACCCCACGCTAAAGTATTAGGTAAATGTTTCAGTAAACGTGCTCAAGGTTTAACCTGCGACATATATATATATATATATATATATATATATGAATCGCGTTCTCGTTTGGGACTTCCTTGGAAATTACTCAGGAATCGCAAATGGACACCGCGCAACAGTGCAATTGTGGAATCACAATCTCGGGTCTCAATGTGAATTTCCAGGGGTCGTTGAGTAGATGCATGGGACAATTGCCAAACCTTGTTAGAGCCCCTAGAATCCTGACATGCCTTTGGGCTCGAAGAGGTCGGCGAATCACACTTGCGTTGTCCGTTGTTTTTTGTTCGAGCCTTCCTTTAAGGATCAGTTTCACTGCGAGCCTTCGTTTTTTTGACCAGGCATCTGTCAGCCATGGCGGCTGGCGCGCCCTCGACACAGAAGGCCCTCGAGGCCATCATGATGCCCATGCAGACAGTGTTCATGAAGTCTATTGAGGACGGTGAGAGCAGCAAGGCTTGGGAGAGCATCGTTCAGATCTTGACGTCCCAGCCGTCGCTCACCTGGACCTCCACAGTTCCTCCTTCTTTGACGGGGGCCCACAGTGACAATCGCGGTTGTCTGGGCGTTTCGGTCACTAGGCTGTGACAAGTTCACAGACTGGGAGGAGGATGGGGGAGGGGGAGGATGTGGGAAGAAGAGGGGGAGGGGGACGAGAAGGAGGACGACTACGACGAGGAGAAGGAGGAAGAAGAGGACGGAGGAGCAGAAGAGTGAGGGAGGAGGAAGAAGAGGAGGGATGGAGGGTATGATGAATGATGACAAGCAGGATGGAAAAACAGCCCTGGTGAACGAAACCTTGAACACTGCCCAGAAGCACTTCGTGTCCGGCTACTCTTTATGGCAAGGCATGCAGCGATTGCTGGACGGTCGAGCTTCGCGCAGGCAGCAGTGAGCATGATCAGACAGTGCAGCTCAACAACAGAATCTGCAGCGGAGTAGGCCTGCCGACCTCAGAGCGCCTTTTGATTGCTTCGTTCGGCGGATCGCATTGTAACTTTTTTCTGTGGTGTGCCAGCGCCAAGCTGCAGTCCGCGCAGAAGGCCATCGCCCCCGCTGGCTTCCTCGATCCAAAGCACTTGGTCAGCAGGCAGCCGCAGATGAAGGTTGCGCTGGAGAAAGGCTTAGAATGGAATGTGGTGTCTGCCGAAGTGGTTCGAGCTTTCTCAAACATGATTCCACTGGCACAAAAAGCACTGAACACGCGCGGCACCCAGGAAATGAGCGAGATGGAAGGTTTGATGACGCAGTTCAGCACGTACGAGTCGTGCGTCCGCGCTGGCAGCGACAAGGCGTCCTCGCTGGCTGCTGCTGTTTCATATTCAATCAAGACAGAGCACTTCTGGACGCCATGGGCGGAATCACTGGGCAAGTTCACGGATAAGTTGAACAGGCGGCAGTTGGAGGAGCTCCGCGACATGCGGGCAGCAGCTTTCAAGGCAATGTGTGCTTGAACCACACCTACACGGCTATAGCTAGAAGGGTGACGTTGTGTAGTTGAGGTTTCTGGCACAAACTAGTTTTTCTCTGAAATCGAAAGGGTTGGTCGACCAACGTCGACAAACCTTTTCGAAATCGAAAGGGTTGGTCGACCAGCGTCGACCAAACCTTTCGACTTCGAAATGTTTGGTCGATTTGGGTTTGCCGACGATTCTGCTTTCGAGCTCACAGGGCAACGTGGTAGGGAGTAGGAGGATGAGGGGGGATCGTTAGGACGGAGGAGGACGGACTGATGAGGAGGATGATCAGGAGGAGGCTGAATGATGAATAGTGTGATGGGGGTTGCGGTGCTGTTTTCTGTACAACAGGCTCCTAAGTCAACGACCCCAGGTTACGGGTATGTTGGCGGCAACTTCTTCGAGAAGCTCGCAAACTTGTCGTGGCCGTCCGAGATAGTGCCGTTCTTGCACATCCGGACTGCAGGGCTGCTTTCGCAAATGTTGTCCCCAGTAGAGTTCATCAAGGACGGCAAGGCTTGCATGATCAAGGAGTCAGACTTGGCCAGGCTCACCAACAAGAAAAACGTGTCAGATGTTGCGAAGTGCGAGGCGATGCTCAACAAGGCGAGGGAATTGCTCGATGAGTTCGGCATCACGGGTCGCAACAGGCTGCGAATGTTGGCTGACCACGACTGCCGCGTCGTGAACTATTTGCTCAAGAAGGGGAACTCTTCTCGGGAGAACAACGTATACCCTGATGCCGCTAGTGCCTGCCAAGTCTTGATCTCCGAGCTATCCAAGGCAACTGGCTGCGCCATCGACAACCAGTGGGTACCAGCGGTCAAGGCAGTTGGCAAACAGACCCTTAAGGCTCCAGAGTGGCGGGTAGACCAACTAAGATACGGTAGATGAGGGCGTGAGGAGGATGACTGATGATCATGAGGATGCCGAAGAGGAGGGGGAAGGATGACGGGGAGGATCATGAGGAGGATGAGGAGGAAGGAGGAGCAGAAGGAGGAGGAGAGGGAGACGAAGGAATGGTGGAGGATAGGGACATATGGCTTTCTTATATAAGAGAAAGGCGGCGGCGATCCAAATGCTGCTCCGTCCTAACAGATCCGAGCTCGAAGACGCGATGTTGTGTTTGCACGTCGAAAGGCTATTGCAACAACGCCAAAGAAGAGGCGGAATCCGATGAGTTTCAATCGCCTTTCAAGGCTCGAGCTGCCGCGGTTGTAGAGCAAGGGCGCCCTGAGCTGGACGCCTCGACTACCCCAGCCATCGCAACGCTTGTAGGTGAGAAATCTCAGCTGTTCCACTTGGCCAACATGGGCTTCAAGCCAGGCGCGACGACCATGAACGAGAAGACACCCGCTGACGGCAAGGTCAAGCTGTTCATGCTAGTTGCGATTGGCACCGAGCTGGCGACGTTGCAGCCAACTGGCGTCGAAGAGACCCGGCCTTCCTTCACCGTGTCCCTGGCGCGCCTCAAGGAGAGCTGGTCGGCCACTTCCATGAAGCCGCAATCGTCCATTGACTTCTTGCCGTGGATGCCTGAGAAGTCTTTGCAGTGGCAGACCGACTTTGTGAAGTCGCACGCGACGATGGCCCTGTCCACCCTGTCGGGCAAAGTCGCTGAAGATAAGTCGTTCGAGTATTTGCAGCTGTTCGTGAATCCGGATTCAGTCAGGGCGACGAAGAAGTTCAACGTGGGGAATCTCGTGCTGGCCCCATGCACCCGCTCCATCAAAGACTGGGCCGCTGACGAGCCGTGTCCTGAGAAGCATGTGTATTTGGGCATGCTCATCAAGGAGCCAACCTAAAGCTCACAATTCACCGCAAGCCCACGGGCAACTTCGTGACGCCATTTTGGTTTGCGGCGACCACTGTTGACGGCGAGGCCGCAAACATGAAGAGCAGCGAGGATAAATTTGACATCTCTGTGATGATCGACTGCCAGCTGGCGGTGCACGTCAAGATGTCAATGCCAGTGATGCGCAACAGGGTCGTACTCCAACCAGGCGACATGCCGCCCATTTCGGATGGCGCCACGGCCCAGTCCCCGAAGAGGGCCAAGCTTAGCAGGTCGTGAACGATGTCGGCTCGCAGGCGCGACTCTCCATATTTTTTTGTACGTTTCTTTCGCCAGCGCTTTGCGAGCTAAAGGCGGGCCCTGTCTGAGCTCTCGAGCCAGCCGTAGGAGGGGGGGGGGTGATTAAGACGAGGGGCGGAGGGGGAATATGATCAAGGCGAGGAGGGCGAGTCGGAGGAAGAAGAGGAGAGCTGGAGTGAGAAGAAAGGCATGTTTCGTTTGCCCCGCTACGATTTCGGCTAAGCGCGTGAGCCGTCGTTTTCGGCTAAGCACGTGAGCCTTCGCCTGGTCGGTCGGCAGCGTTCTTCTTTTTTTCGGTGCACCGCGCTGGCGTGCGTTGTGCGAGCCAGCTGCAGGTGGATGCACCGATTGAAGTCAACGAAACACATAGGGGCCCCAGAACCAACACAAACAATATTTGGTTTGCCTTTCGACGGGCCATTCGCCCTCAGCCCGCCATCTCTCCCTCTCTCTCCCTCTCTCGTTACCTCTCTCGCGCTCGCGCTCCCTCTCTCCCTCTCTATCTCCCACTCTCTCTCGCCCCCCCCCTTCTCAGAACTACAAAAAAAACAAAGAACATGCACGATGTGACAGACGCCAAGGATGACGCGAGCAAGAAACGCAAAGCCCAAAGTGAGGTACCAGACCAAACATACAAGATTCAGGAAATGCCACATTCGTGCTAGCTATGTCACGCTGTGCTAGCTATGTCACGCACAAAGGGATGCCTTACGCACAATAGATTAAACAAAACAGGTCACTCACAAACGAGCCACACGCAACAATCTACTCGAGAGGTCCCGCCACATGCGCCCGACTAACCAGGTACGGGAGGAACCCGATAAGGCCCGAAAGTCCCCATGTGGCGCCATCAGGGTGCATCTTGCACAGCGGCTCGGAAAACAGGCCAGGGCGATTGCTTCGTTGAGTTGCGTTGGGTCAGTCAGCCGTGGCCGTGCCAGTGCAGCCCTCCAC